ACACAACTTTATTTCCAAAGAGAAACAAGAAGCTCTTTCCTGATGTTACTTGTTTTCATGCAATGGAAGTGTAGGAAAACACCAAATCAAATTTCCCTATAAGTTCAACACTGAACCTAACCACTGGATTTGATTTGGTTTGCTACCAATATGGTCTGCAACCAGAATTGTGGAAAGAATTAAGTTCATGAACCGAGGCACTACTGTATATTTACTTTCACAGATGGATGATTTCATAACCAACAACAGAAAAATAAATAAGAGGTAAAATAAGAGGTGGGATGACAGCATCACTGATGCATCACATACCCATTTTTTTTGCAAGTTTATCAAATAAGCTTTTAGTTGATCTCAGCTATAAAAAAGTAATGAAAACTTCAGTTTTATTTTTCCTTTATTCAAATAAATTATAAAGAAAATTAAGTATAATTTCATAAGTATCCAGAGGATAGTTTCCCAATTACTATGTCATTATACTCATCATCTTCTGACTATTTTCAAAACAGAAGACAATAATAAATACTAAGCTTTAAAGTGCCACACGCAGGACCAGGGATGTAACTTGTGGCAGAACAATGGCTTAACATGTGTGAGGGGTTGGGTTCAAACCCCAGTACTAAAAGAACAGAGCAGAAACCCACAGGCAAATCTGGCATTAGGAGGTTGGCCTACTAATTTCTATGTAATCTAAGAATCAGTTATTCTCAAAACTTGCTCAGTTAATGTTTCAGGACAGCATACCATTTTGGCTTGGTACTATTCATTGAATAATAACTCTCTTTTTCCTATGAATAAATTGAAACCATTCTCTAGTTTTCCCTTACATATTACCTGTAAGTAAGTATTATATTTAAACAATACACTGAACTGCTCTAGTATGAAACAGAAGTTGGTTGATGGTCTTATTTTTCAGTACTAACCTAGTGCCCAATCTCCTGGTTCGCAGTCCCATAAAAATTGACCTTATTAATTTTCCAAAAGAGGCAGCATTGACTGGGTCCAGTTTGTGTTCCTGACAGTGTCGAAGGTAGTGGTTGTATAGAGTGCTTCTGGGAAGGCTCACTCCTTCTGCTGTCTCGTAATTGTCCAATAGCCACTGAAGCTAGGACAAATAAAAAGGACAAAGTAAACACAGAGAAGTCAGATAATTTGTCAAAATTTCAGTTCCAGTCATTGCAAACACAGTATATGAAATACTTGAAATATCTTCATTAACTTTTTTCTTCTTCTTTTTGAGACAAGGTTTCATTAAACAGTTTAGGCTGTCCTTGAACACACTTTATAGCCCAGGCTGGCCTCAAAACTCATAGCAACCCTCTTGCCTTAGCCTCCAGAGTGCTGAGATTGCAGGTGTGCACCATTCCACCCAGCTTCATCACCTCCTATGATAAAATACATTGCAGTATTTCTGAGGCCAATAAATCTGGCTTTGAAAACTCTCACAAACATATAGCCAAGTAATGCTTATCATCTTAATACCCACTCTTTCCCCATATATTCAACCATATGTAGAGATCCACCAGTTTTCCCTGAATCAACTATAATTTTGGAGGCAGATGTCTCCTCAGGGAATTCAAATAATCTTGTTAATTGGTCATAACTATAATTTATAACTGTTATGAACAAAACATTTACCAAAGCTGGCAGCGTGGCATCTAACATATCTGTCATGTTGGTTCATTACAATATGCGAATAGCAGGCTGCTTTATAAAAGCTTTTATTTTAAGGTTCTATTAATTTTTAACAGCATTTTAAATTACTGCAAATTATCATTAGATAATACAAAGACTACTGTCTACTGGGACAAATTCTACAAATAAAAAGGAGAAAATTCAGTCAATTCTTCCTCAGAAGACAGAAACTCACTAGATACTGGCAAATAATTTATATAAAATAAAAAGGAACCCTTTTTACAGCCATTTGAATTTCACTCCAATGACAGTAAAGCTAAATTTTCTCATAGCTTTATGTTGCTCTACAATAACATAGATATTGATATATTTAGACATACATAGATTTTTTTAATTTTATATTTTGGTACTGGGGATCGAACTTAGGACCTAGTGTTTGCCAGGCAGGTGCTTATGCTGCTGCACTATATCCCTGACCCTATATAGGTATTTTTTAAAAAACAATCTTTAATGTGCAACATGCACAGGAACCTTTTAGAAAATTCATTCTAGGTATTTATTATTGAATGTCAACATGAGATTCACTTCACTTACTTATTTACAAAAGGAAAACTGAATCAGACTGAAATGACTGTCTTAAGGCCACAAATTATCTCAATGTCTCAATCTGTTTTCCAACTCAGGTTTCTGAATTTCTCTGGAATCTAGACCCAGAGTTAATTCCACAAAATCTCTAACAATTTCATATTACTTGTCTCATCAAAATTTCCATGACAAATGTAATATGTATAGTAAAGGGCCAATCCTTAACATGCAACTTTAGTGAAATATAAATTAGAGAATTAAAAATAATTCACTTATCGAGTACCAACCAGTATCAGCAGTCAATGTACTAGGTACTCAGTGAGGCATACTTAAATGTGAGTTCACCTATCCTCTGGGAATTCAGAGTCAAATGCTAAAAATGGGATGCTTAAGTAAATAAAAGCATTATTCCTTAAACTTACATATTTTAAGGATGTGTAATCAAACTTAGAACATCAAATTTCACTTTTTAACAAAAATTCATTATTTTCAGTATTGTTTATAACTAGTTCAACTGAGGTTTCCAGAACTGTTTTCTTTTCAAATATTGTATCAGGATGCTTAAGGAATTAAACCTGTAACATTAAACGTATACTGACTGTTGGCTTGGAAATTATAGCCACCAAGCCCACAGACAGAGCAGAGTACTTTGAAAAATAAAATTAATGTTCTGCTCAGGAGTTCTTTGTGGAATATATTGCATATGGATATAAACATGTAAATATATACATTAGCTCTGCAACATATATAAACCTCTACTTCAAAACTTCTAAAACAATATGTAAACTAAACTTTCATTTTTTATAATAACAGAAATGTAAGTCAAAAGAATTCCTTTCATATGAATTTTCATATGAAAACTTAAATGTCAGTAAGCAACTTTTCCAGAGGTACACAAACACAATCTCTGAATATTATAAATAATAAACAGAACACATACATATAACTTTATACATGTTTATTTAGTATAAAAGACAGGAGGTAAACTGATCAAGAAATTACTCTGTTAGTAAGCTTCAAAGCAATATTCTGCCTACACCACTGGGCCAGAATGTCTCCTCAGTGTTTTTGCTTCTGCGTCAGAGTTTGTTGATTATGTACACAACCGTGGGAGATGACTTGAACAAGCAGAAATGCAAACCTGATTCATATAATTCATCCACGTGCCTCAGGAAAATGACAGTATTTGAAAACATATGAGTGGTATTATAGAAGCTCTAGTGAGTCCTTTTGTAAAAAAAAAAAAAAAAAAAAAAAAAAGTCTTTTTGAGACCAGGTCTTACTCTGCAGTTGAGACTGGCCTTGAGATCACCTTGTAGCCCCGGCTGGTCTCCAACTTACACAATGCTCCTGCCTCAGCCTCCCAAGTGCTGGGATGACAGGGAAGTACCACCACAGCTGGCTCAGTGAGCCTTTTTGCATAAAAGCAGCGGCTCTGGTTTTATGTACATATAATAGATGGAAGAAGGGGTAAGTGCTTTCTATTTTGTATATTAAAGAAAAAATGCAGACCCTTAATGTCAAGAGTTTTAAAAACTACTAGGAAAAAAGCTCTGGAAAGTCAAATTGATAAAGCACATATTTTTTAAAAAATAGCAATATTTTACCACTAAACTAATGAAGTTCCCATATTCAGAAGCATTCAGTACACAATAAATCTGACCTAAAGTACTACATATATATATATATATATATATAATATATATATATATATATACACACACACACACACACTTGTGTGTATATCTATGTATCCTCAAACACAACAGTGTCAAAGGCATAATAGTATGATGAAAAGTAAAAAAAAAATCAATATTTTTTACTAATGAATGACAATAGATACCTATATACAGGAAATCTTACTCTAAGGTCTTTTTACAGAAATAAAATATAGTCAGTTTTATAATATGAACATTGCAGCCTAAATTGTATAAATCTTAAAAAAAGATTTCATGGGTGTGTGTGTGTGTGTGTGTGTGTGTACGTAAAATCGCTAGTCGGTTGAAAAGCTTCCCACAGACAGGTATTTTTCTGACTATAATTTTGGCAGTGGCAAAAGCACAGTTTATTTTTCTCCACTCTCTGTTTACAGGAGGAGGCACTGTATTTCTTGCCTGGAGAGTGCTCTGAAAGAACGGAAGGAGGTCAAGTGGAGGCACAGCCCGACACAATAAAGGTGATGTGTGACCTTCTGGGGTCCAGCGCGGCAGCCTGCCAAGCACTACACAAAGGAGGGGTCTAAGCTCTTAGCAATTCTGTATGCGTAGAAGCTGATTTAAAATCCACCTGATGAAACTTAGGACACAACTGCAGATTATAATTTGCATCCTACATGCCAGAATTTAATTTTCAGGATTTGATACACTGATAAAATTATATACCAGATATGGAAGCTAATAGTATTAAGAAGCATGTTTTTATTACTGGACAAAGTTGATTTATCTCTGTGTTAGTTCAAAGGTAGCCTAAAAGCATTTGTTCTACACACTACTTCCCCAAAACGTATGGCTTATTAGAAGGTACACTGTTTTCTGTAGTTTGGTGTTTAAGGATGTTTAATTCAACATCCTTAATGTTTAGTATTTAGTATGAAAGTATTAGTATTTTACTCTTTCATGAAACATCATAAAAATGCTTACATTTGTGGTTTTAAAAGCCCATAAAATACTATAGAAACTTTGAATCTTTACATTTAAATCCTGATTATTCTACCTGTGAACTAAAATATACTCATCTAAGTATATTAAAAAAAAGACTATTATATCTTCCAACCTCTGCATTTAGTCTATACTAACTAGGATAGATTAAGCAGATTTATCCCAAAAGGAAATAATGATTGACAAAGAAAAAGAAATAAATATTGCATTGCCCAACTAACATTTAAATGTAATATTTGGCATTTCCCCCCAAATGGATTGTTGTCCATTGGGATTTATTTTAAATTCACTGAAGAAATGGTTTTTTTCAGGCTTTCTCTATAATAACTTATAATACAGAAATGTGAAGAGAAAACATAAAGAGAACAAGGTTTTCCTTTGAGCTGAGTGCATTTCAGTAGCTAACCCAGCAAAAATCACAAAAAAATAACTTGCTAGATTATGAAAAACATATAAAACAAATGCCAAAGTTTTTATACCTTCAGTGAAATTTTTAAAATATATAAAACCATAAGAACATTATATGAAACGAAAGCAATTTAACATTTCTGATTTCAAATTTACAACTGAAATTCTCCCAAATTAAACACACTATAACCATTAAATGCCAATTTAAATTAATTGCAATATAGAAAGATCATAAAAAGAAACTTCAGTGTGCAATGATGAAATTAGAAATTCTATTCAGGCAGAGAAAGTTTTAAATTAAAAGTTATTATAGTATTATAATTCTGTAAAGCCAAATTAAATATTTAATAATATATAAATACATATTAATACAAGATGAATGTCACTCATATCTACAACTTTATAAAAGATTAGATTGTTTGGAGAAAAAAAAATCTATGCTTCAGGTAAGAGATGCATGTGGGGAAACATTAGAATAACCACATATTCTTCGGTTGCTACGCCAGCTGCGACTGTCCTCTACCAACAGCGTTCACACATACACCTACTGCAGGATGCTCGAAAACAAGAAAAACATTGAATGCATATATGAGGCTCCAAATAAACACACACGTGACTGGCAAAGGCATCTCAAAGCAATGAAAATAAGATAAATTCTATCTGCTTCTATTGTCTCTTAGGCTCATTCTCCTAGCAAATTTTAGTTAGTGTCCACTAGGTACCAGCACTATTTTAAACACAAGGCATCTATAGCTAGACAAAAGGTAAAAATTCCTAGTCTGTTGTAATTTTGACTTATCAATAAGTATTTATTATCTATGAGATGCTAGTACTGAAATAATTCCCATGTAGGTCAGAATCTTATTACTAGGTGCAGTACTGAAAAGTATATGAAATATGTAAATTTTGTGTATTTTAATCTGAGTGGCAATGATGAAAATAAGATTAAAAGTTTAAAAAAGTCTTAAAAATATAAGAAACTAGAATATAAAATATAATACTGAATCTCTCGTAATGTGCAAATCATAAAAAGCAAAGCAATGAAGTTGGATTCTGAGAAAGGATTATTTATTAAATTTGCTCCTAATAAGAATTTTCTCAATTATTGAGAATAATCAAATGCTTAAAGAGAAGATGGGAAATCTTTTCTACTCCATATTCCCCCAAAATTAAACTAGATGCTTTATCTCAAAAGTCAAAATTAACAGCCCTTTTTAGAAATTAATAATATGGGATGTGCGTTACTGATAATGTATAATTTTTGCTTAATGAAAGTAATCATTTGTAGAAATGCATAACCGGGAGAACTACCTTAATCCAAAAATCTCAAATAATGGTATTTTATACATATGTAGTGGGTAACATTACCTTTACTAATATTTTAAATACTAGCATTTAAAAAATACCTTTCAGCTAAAGAATTTCTATACAAAAATAACAACTTAAGTTCATCGAATACAAAATATTGTTAGAAAGATATTATCACTTGGAAGACATGCAATAGCTTATTCTAGTTGTTTGGATAAATCTAATAAAAATTAAGAGCATCGTTAACTTTCCAAAGACAAAGGACAGTAGGCTCTTTTTCTGTGTTCACAAAGATACTAATTTAACTCATAAGCCAATAGAAACCCTGGTTCTGGTTCCACTGTTTACAACCAATGTTTAAAATCATCTGTACTTCTAAAAACTTGACTGTAAGTGCAGTTGTAGTAAACTTCACTAAGTATAATAAAAGTGAATCAGGATTCCTACACAAAGATTATCATGGCATTAGAAACATTTGTGCCCACTCTTGCTATGCATTAAACTGCCTCTGACAGTTGTTCCAGTATAGAAGATTTACCATAACATGTAATATAAAACTACAAAGCCAAAGAAAGACAATAAATTAGCTGTTGTTATACAGCTTAACTCAGAGTGATTAATGTTAAATATGAGTTCATGAATTCCAGAAGAAAAGTTATTTTGAAAAAAATTGAAAAACACAACATATCTGAACTTCGCAAAAAAAACAACCAATAAAAATGTCAAAACATATGTTCTTATCACCTACGTTTCTGTTCATGAAAATATTAGTGAAGATGCAAACTGAAGTAGAAGATAAAATTAACTATGTAATAGGTCATATATTTACTATACTGTATATCAAGTACAACTTCTAAGTTTGAAAGTAACTGGAAAAGAAACGGTAAGGATTTTTTTTTTTTGGGGGGGAGGATGTTTTATTAATGTCCTTGCACGTTGCTGACTGAAAGCGAGCAATGATTTCTCTTAACATTTTCAAATATGAACAGCACTTGCTTATCAGCTCTGCCCCACAGAGACAGCCTATAGTAAGTTAGCCTTTCGATACAACCAGAGTTACGCCAGCACAGAGGGATACACTTTCGAAGTACTTAAGAGTAATATACTCGCATATCAATTTTCAGACAGGAGAAAAATCAGCTTTAAAATTGTTTCAAAAGCAAAGCCCAAAATATATTGTTGCTGTAAAATTTATATCTATGGTTTTTATTTAAAAATTACAAGCATTCTCCCGCTGTCTAACCTCTTTTTGGTTTACCAGGAAACCTCACTTTGAAAAAGAAACAAGACAAAATAACTCCTAAAAAACCAAATGTATTAGAACATAAGAAGGTAGTGTTACTTTTGGCACCTGAAACTTAAATATTTAGAAATCACAATGCTGGGTATGCAGCTCAGCGGTAAAGCACTGGTCTAGGACACATGTGATACTAGGCTCAACCCCAGTATGGTATAAATGAGTAAGTAAATAAATAAATAAATGCTCAAATATTTAAAAAGCACAGCAGAAACATTTTATGTGAAATAAGTTTAAATTTATTTAAAGTTTAAAAATGGTATCTTTGTGACATGCAACTTTAAACTTTGCAGTGATAAAAAATGGACAATAATTAAGAAATCATACTAATTCTATCCTTCACTTTAAGAACAAACCGTCAGTAAGCCTTACTCAAATATGTCACTGGCATTAATTTAGCAAAGCTGTATCTACAACAGATTTGTCATGATCTATTTACTTTTTTCAAATATTTAAAAGTAATCAGGGCAATTTCTAATTACATTTTCCTTGCTTCCCCAAATTTGAACTATTGTTTAAATGTTTATAATTCCGCAAAACTATCATAATCATCCTTACATTTAGCACTGTCATGCTGCTACTGCATCTGGTAACTGTGAAAGCATCGAGAAATATCACAGTAATTCTGTCTTCCCTAAACCGTTAGCAACTTTTGGCTACCTACAACCTCATCTCTTCTTTTGGTTCATGTCTCCTTTCTCTTTAATTTCTGAGACCTGAGATCACTTATCCTGCTGCTTCCTGTCCATGTTATATAATGGTTAAAATGCTTTAAATTATTTTCAAACAGTTTCTTCCTCAATTTGGTATTAATGATCTTTATCCATTAAAAGAATCTCTTACTGTTTGATAAGTAGTTGTGGCTATTGCTATGTCTCAAACATGTAAGCACATGGATTACAAGCATTTCCTTTATACTAAATAAATATCAGACCGGAAACTTTAAATACTTAAAATCACCATCTTTTTTTAACAAGTACATGGCAGCTTCTTGTTATTTTTAAAATGCTTTATCTGTATTCAAACAGCATAAAAGCCTCAGTTTTATTTTTAAGATATTCCATTGTACCTAAGAGCCATTAAATAATTCAGAAATCATAAGGGGCTAAGACAGGAAGGTTAAGAAGCAAAATAAATAAATAAATCAAGCATTTAGAGGCAGGCAACACATGCAGAACAAGCAAGAGATCAGCTTACATGAAGAGCGGGCAACTTACATGGCTGTTGAGAAGAGAGCTTCTGTGAGTGGACAGACCGTCAGACTTTTGCAGCGTCTCAATCGCCATCTCAATCTGATAATAGATGTCATTAAAAAACAGGGCTCAAGACAAGATAGTGATAAAAGGCTGACCAGAAAATTTTTGATATATTTTTTTAAAGTTCAACATCTTTTTCAATGGTGGCTAAAGAATAGTTATCACTAAATTTGTTTTCCCCTCCCCCAACCCCCAAAGAAGCAAAAATATGCACATTAATAGCAAGTCCAATCACAAAAGTAAACCTTTTTGAACATTCTTTAATTATAATCAGTATGGAGACCTGGCAAGCAGGAATCCCAGAAGATTTTTCTAGTTAGGAGAAAACATTCTTGATTTTCGTAGCACAAGCTGTGGGTTAGTAACTATTCTCTAAATAGTCTTCCACCTAAACAGTATTTAGTATTTTTTTCTATTCTGTCATGCAAGAAAACTCATACACCAAATTCTGAGTCCAATATGCATTAGTATTTTAATGCAAATGTACAAACATCCTTTATTAATATTTAAAAGCCATTAGGTCTATACATCACTTTCTTAATCTTGTAGTAAAATTTGTAAATTGATGTGAACAAACAGCCCAATGAATCTATGGCTGCTACACTTCAGGATGTGGTGGTGAGACAGAGATATTAGAAATGACAGCAGAAAGAGAACGCAGAAGAGAAAATAATTTAGAGCCAACAAAAAAGAGAGGCAACAAATGGAATAGCTTTCCTCTATGTAGTTACGAGCATTCATAAAACCTTCCTTGAGAAGGTGCAATGAAGAATGTGTGAGGTCCTCAGTACCCTCATAGCTAAAAAACAGGTAATAATCTGCATTTGATTTTTGCATTATGTTTAAATATTAACTAATATTTTTTAAATAATATGCAAATCTACAGAGAAAATAACTTTTATTAACAATCACATTAACAATTCAGTACATGATTTAAAACACAGTTCAATTACTTATGTTATACTTTGATATAAAAATTGATAATGCCTTGCTATTTTAACATACTGCTCTTTCCAAAAGAAAACAATGATACATGGGAATAAAGATCGATAGTGAAATCTTTATTTTCTATCAAATTTTAGTTTCCCTATGGTAGAACACTGTATACACAGACATTCAGTAACGTCTTCATTGTTGTTCATTACATAATTGAGCAGCAAGTATTTGTTCAGCTCCTCAGAGTTGACCAATATCTACTATAGCAATATTAAATTTAATTTTCTAAGCAATTTGGGAATTGATAGCATTAATTTTATTATGCATTATTTCCCCAAGCTGCTAGTTCTTCCCTAAAATTAATAAAAGGTAATACTAAGAACGTGTTAGCTGTGAAATTATAGAAAAAGTACTCTTAGAACAGATACTAAAATAAATATAAAAGAATATACAAGACAATTTATTCTATTGTTAATGCTTCTTGAATTTGAGTTTATTTTTTTTCCCTAAAATCCATCCCCACTTTTTCCACTACTGCAACATTTATATTTCAAACTCCGCGTTCTAACTTCACAAAGTGTATAAACACTGGGGAAAAAGGTTCATTTCCTAGGGCTACTCAAATACAATTTGATAAGCACTGTAACCATGTAATAATTAAAATTCATCTGTTATAAAACATAGTCAAGATTATGGTTTTTATGATATTAGAATTCCCTTCAATTTAAAAAAGTAAATATTATAAACATATTAAAAGTTTTTTTTATATTTCTCAAAGTAGTTATCCAGTCGGTGGTAAATATTCTCATTATTTCTTTGGAGCCATAACACATTTGTGATTATTTGGAAAACATGAGTCTCTAAGTAGGTTCCAACATACTTGCTCTGAGCTTGTCATCTTTCTTATAAAAAAAAATCAACATTGATTGATTGATTGATTGATTGATTGATTGATTGATTGACTGATTGACTGTTCGGGCTGTCGTGCCTTGTTTCCTCCTCTCCGTTTCTGGGCTCCACAAACTTAGTAGCATCGAAGTGGATTAGGGTGATAAATTCCTCTACACAAATGAACAGGCCATTGATTTTCTGTACTACAAAGTGTGACAAGTCAAGGAAGTAATGTGTGTGCAGATTTGAGAAGTGGCAAGGGATCAGATGCATATGGGAACAAACACACAGAGTAGTAGCTTCAGCAATACTGAAAAGACATGTAGGAACTTGATACTGATGTGTGCGAGTCAAGGGAAAGCAGTGCTCACAAGGTTTTGAGGAAACATGAATATTCAAAAAATGTTGCTTTTCAGATAAAGCCATGGCATGGGTTCTGCTAGGTAGGAATAGTAAAGGGCCAAAGTGTGCCCAGTGTTTATAGAATGAGCAGAAGCTTTAAGGGACAGGACAAGAGCATGAGAAAATATTATCACCCACAAGAGCACAATAAGACAGTGGAGAGAAAGTGAGGAGGAGAGATTACAGGGATAATGCAAAAATAAAGAGAAGTAAAATAATAAAAATAAAGAGGTAAATTTTGATATTACAAAGTTATGAAGGATTAATCCGCTCTATTATTTTAAATAGATTACAGTATCATTTCCTACCGATTAAGCAATAATTTGTTCTTAATTTCATAGAAAAAGATCCATGTGTTTGGTGATGGGATAGAGAGACAGGAATAGACTAGAAACTGGATAAATAAAATTTTAGTGAATTAGAATCAATTTCTACCAGACTCATCAAGTATGAAATTAACTTGTCAACATCTTCATTGTTGTTCATTACATAATTGAGCAGCAAGTATTTGTTCAGCTCCTCAGAGTTGACCGATGTCAAGAAAAAGGTGGCATGCTTTCCTAACACCTAAAATATGACACCTAAATTCTGACATCTAAAATACTGAGTCCAAAAGTGAACTGGTCAGATTATATGCTTCAGTTTACTGTAGATCATTTAAAAAGTAAAATTTAGAGCACTGGGTGTGGTGGCATATGCCTGTCATCCCATCACTCAGGAGGTTGAGACAAGAGGATCACTGTGAGTTATAGGCCAGCCTGGACTACTATACTACACAGCACAATTCTATCTCGAACAAACAAACGAATAAATAAAACACTAAAAAATAAAATTCAGTACTGAGCAATCATTTATAAAATTCCCCAGGTAGAAACCATAAAACCCATAACCATCATAAAGTAGGCATACTGATTTACAAGATTACTGGCCTAGATAGTTAACATAATATGTATTTCATACATCTGAAAAATGTTCTTAATCTTAATAAATATAATACATCTGTAGCTTCACTCCACGAAAATGCCTGGTTAGATTACCAGGGAGTTAAAACTTAAAAGTGACTCAATTCCAAAAATTTGCAGGGTTATATTTTTTTTTAATCAAGAAAATAAATAAATAAATAACCCTCTCTCAGCATTAAACAGCCACAGTACTTGGTACTGATACAGGGAACTTTATTAAACTAGTACAGATTCATGTGATTTCATTCCATTTTAACAAAACAAAAGCTCCTTGTGCGCAAGGTGCAATATTATTTAGAACTGTGTGGGGGTTGGTATATGAAGAGAAGGCAAGAGAAAGGGAAGGAGGATAGATGGAAAGTAAAACAATGTTAGCAACAATGTTCAGAGCACAGCCTGTAATTCAGAAACTTATGACATGTGGCTTAGCTAACTAGTACAAGTGACACAAGGTAATTCACATACAAGGGACTACACACACATGCACACACAGACAGAGACACACACAGACACAGACACACAGACACACAGACACACACAGACACACACACACACACTGCCAGTGAATAAAAACACCCCAATTATACAACTGATTACTAGGAGAAAGAAAGAAGAATTATGTCTTGCTGGTACAGTTTCACATAGTATGGGGAAGCTAGCTGCTTAGTAGAGAACCAAAAAAGAATTTCTGAAATCTGGTAGGGGTAGAAGAGTAATTAGTACATAGTAGGTAGAGTAAACAAGGTAAGAGAGCATGATACATGTTTGAGGAAGAAAAAGACTCACTTGAGGTTGAGGATTCTTTTTTTTTTTGCTAGCTTAGGGCAGGGCTGGTGTGGCATGTGGTGCTATATATCGAACTGAGGTTCCCTGCACCTGCCTAAGCTTGCCTAAGAGGCGCTTTAGACCACTGAGCTATCTCGCTGGCCTGAGGTTGAGGATTCTTTAGGGAAAGGTAAATGGAGATAGACTGCAATTTCTTGGTTTGGACTTCTGATTAAATAGTATGCAGGCCATGGTTTTAAAAAAAATGAGAGAGAAAAATATCATGATTTGATAGGTGCTTATGTATCAATCTTGTTTAGGATGGGGGAGAATCTAGAAAAACAATTCAGAAGCTATAGTAATATAAGAGGGAGGTAAGAGCCTGAATAAGGTATCGATGAAAATAAAAAGGATAAATATAAATACATTTTTAATATATTCTAAAGGTAAAGAGTCTGAGCAAGCTTGGTAGTACTGTATGTGTACTTGAACACAACAGTCTACTCCATCACTATTTGATTAGAACATTTTAAATACACATATCAAAAATATTGATATAAATAGATTCTAAAATGTTTTCCTCTCCTTCAAATTTCTGCTGGAAGATCTTTATTCTAAAAATAAAGATCATTTCATTAGTGGAATTTTAACTCCATGCCAAAAGAAAAAAGAAAAAGATAAAAAATAAATTTCAACTCCAGTACAAAAGTACTATAACCACGTTTACAAGAGGTTCTGTGACAACCTGAATATCGGACTAATTTAAGGCTTCACTGAGTGTTGCTGCTTTCTCTTAGATTCTCTGACAACTTTTTTAGTAATGTCCTTTTCGCTTTTTCTACATAGTGGTAAAGAGCCAATTTTTTTTTTTTTATGACCACAAGAATCTTTTTTCCCCCAATTAAAAACTGGGCATGGCAAACAGAAAAAAAACTTTCCATTTTTTGCCTTAAATCAGTGAAGCATTACATTACAGAAGTACATTTATTTATTATTTATTAATTTTTAGAAATTCTCTGAACTAAGACACAAAGTCATCACCTTGTGCCTAAGTCACCAGCTGCCTTTCTTCTCACCCTC